TCTCATAGTTGAGGTCTACCTATGATGTCAATTACAGGCCTCTCTCATCTTTTTAAGTGGGAGAACTTGCACAATTGGTGACTGACTAAATACTTATTTTCCCCACAGTAAATGTGCATCAAAAAGCCTTGATGGAAAGAAATGTGTCTTTAAAGGACGGTCAGGAGTTTGTCTACCTGCTCTCTGTCTGGGGTTTTCTTTCACACACATTTTTCTATAGGTCATGCAGCTGAAATCCAGTGTGGAGTCTATGAATTTGATATCTTTGTTGCTTGAAGAGTCATGAGGATAATGTGTCTCCAGCCTCTGCTCTGCATGACTCAGCTCACTGAGGTGCTGCAGCTGCTCCTGCTCTTCCTCTCTGTCTGGTGTTGTGTCCGTGCAGAGTGACGGGCAGTCGGCTTCATCTCTTGTTTCAGACACATCAATGGTGTGGTCGTCCCGGTGGTCTCCCACTTCTGGCTCCTCCACTCTGAATGTGCCGTAGCCAGAGGTCACGAGGCTCGCTGCTGGACTACCAGAACTACTGCTGATAATTTCTTCATCATCATCATCATTCCTTCCCACTTTCAAAACATCTCCAGTAATGTTCTTCTGGTTGTTCAGCTTCAGATTTTTCTCCCCTGAAGTCCCCCGAAGCAAGCTCAATGAGTAGTTGACAGGTTTGGAGTCTATCACTTCTTCCTCTTGAGCTTCATCATCAGACCAAAAAGAGGAGATGAGGGAGTTCTTGTCATCATCATCTTCATCCCACTGATGATTATACATCTTTTACATGGTAAAAGGCTGCACTACACTAAGATGTGTGGAGCGTGAGGTTAGTGGAAGCAGATGGCTTCAGCATGGAGCTAAGAGGATTAGCTGAATCCAGAAGCCTCAAATGCCTCTTCTCAAAGCAAGGAGTTTATTTATAACAACTGGAGTGTGCAGAAACCACCTGACTGTGTGATCAGCTGGTGAAGCTAACGGCTAAGGCTAAACGGTCAAAACTCTGGATTTATCATTACTGTACATGTTGACAACAGAGCATAATAAAAGACTGACCGTGTAGAAATCATTAAAACTATTAATAATAA